CAAGGGCCTGAGTTCAATCCCCAGTTCCACCAAAAAAAAAAAAAAAAATGTAGATGTAATGTGTGATGGCATAGAAATCTGCCAAATGATACCCAAAGTGCAGTAAAAACCTAACTAGAGGGGCCGGGGAGATAGCTCAGTAGAATAAGTGCTTGCCTGGCAAGGGCCTAAGTTCAACCGCCAGTTCAGCAAAAAAAAAAAAAAACCAAAAAACCAAAAAAACAAAAAAAAAACCCACCTAACTAGAATAGGTATCCTGCAATGAATTGTAATAAAATCAATTATATGACTCACTCTAAAGTGAGCGACAACTGCTATTTATTTTTTAATGTACTCAGTAGAGGGCCTACAGGGTCTCACTATGCAGATCAAACTCATAGTGATTCTCCTGTTTTCAGCCACCCAAGCGCTGGGATTACAGGCGTGCACCACCATACCCAGTCTCAATTGCTATCTTAGCGTGCCCTGGGAGTGGGACCAGCACACCGTTGATTGAACCTAGCCACTGCACTTTGCCTAAGCAGGTGCTTTAACCCACTGAGCTATCTGGCTGGCTTTTTTTTTGTTTGTTTGTTTGTGGTGCTGGGGATTGAACTCAGGATCCTGTGCTTGCCAGGCAGGCACTTTATTCCACTAAGCTATCTCCTCAGCCCCAATAAGGGACTTTAAAGGGCACTTTTAATGCCAATTTCCTTCCAGAATTGTGGTATACTTTGAATTATTTGGATATTGGTTGAGATAAACCATGCATTTCTTTCAGTAAACAGGAATTCAAATTGGGATACCTACTAGGTAATACAAAAAATTGTTAATTTGGTTTCATAGGGAAGCAAGGGGCTTCACACTGAGTGTCTGGTCACCAGTTCAAACTGGAGAGGTTCACTTGAGATTCGGGCAGCCTGAAGAAGAGACCAGAAGCTGGAAATGTCTGAGCGTGCCTTTATTCTTTGGTGCTGCTCAGCTACATGCACTGCTGTGGCAGTCCCTGAGCCTATCTTGTCACAGTAGCCCTTGGCTGCTTTGTTTTCCACTAGGACTCACAGCAGTCTACATTTGTACGAAGATAAACAACAGTGGCCATGTGTCAGCAACGGACTTGCTTGTGTATGTTATTTACACCAGCCAGCATTGACCTTGCCTGTATTTGTTATTTCCACTGAGACCACGGAGGAGTGCCAGTGCCGAGATCTTGCTGACTTGCATTTGGTGACCACTGGAAATCACCAAGCCCCGCCCACAGCCTAACCTAACTGTAGTTGTGTTAGAGGCTTCATTTTCCCCTACATGAGCTACCTCCGCAGCCCTTTTTTAGCTCTGGCCTTCGAGATGGTCTTGCCAAGTTTCATAGGCTGGCCTCAAACTTATCGTCCTCCTCTTTTCTTCTCCCTGTGTTGGGATTACAGGTTCATGCCACTATGTTCTGCAATATTGTTATTGATATTTTGTATTTAAAAGGAAATTGTCAAGAGATTTTGTCTAAAATATTTGGTAACAGGAGATGAAATAATAAGTGTTGAATTTAGAGGGTGTGGATTTGGTGTTTTATGTCACTTTTCTCAATACTTTTGTGTTAGTTTATCTGTTTCTTATCAAAATGTATGGCCCAGAAGAAAGTCTTAAATATATCTACTCCCTGTAGATCCACTTGATGTAATCTAGACTCCATACAATCATTTACTGTCTCCAGCTATACCCCTCCCCCTTCCTAATTATGAATACATATGGTTTAAACAGCTTAAGCCATGATCTCATTCACTAGCCTGTGAATCTGCCTGCCTCCTATGAGCAACTGTAAGCACTGATGCCCTCAACGGCAGGATAAAAATAGGTGATGTGACGACAGAAGTTGCAAGGAGGAAAATAATTCAAGATTTCATAAAAGATTTACCCTTCCAGTGTTGTAACATTTGTATCCATGTTGTAGGACTTTCCCTTTGCCTTCTGACTTCAGCCTCACAATCTCATAATCCTCAGTTAAAACCAAGAAAAGGTGGGGAAAATTGCTGTCACTGCTTTATGGCCCCGTGAAGGGTTCCATCAGTGGGCATTCTTTTATTTTAATCCTTGGCATCTATGTTTGTGGGAGACCAATGCTTGGCCTCATACTACAGACTGCTGCATTTGATCTGTTGTATTGTGACCTTCCCAGAGCTAAGTTTCTGTTTCCCCTCTGAGCCATTTCCCAGAAGTCCCATGCCTGATTTCCACCCTAGAGACCACCCCCCCAGTGCCTAGCGACCTGATGACGTATAGTCACTCCTCCCTCTTCTTCCCTGCTTCCTATAAATTCTCTGAGACTTCCTTGAATAAACGAGGCTTGATCAGAACCTTTGTCTTGCCTCCATTTCTCGTGTCTCCTGTCCCTATTTCATCCCCACTCCCCTTCCAGGGTCCTCGTTGACTAACCTGTGGGTCGGGTCATATGTTCAATTGTTCAAGATTTGAAGTAACACCGTAGCAGGTAGGGAGATAGCTCAGTGGTCTAAGTGCCTGCCCAGCAAGCGGCAGCACCTCGGTTCGATTCCCAGAACCGCATGCCATGCCACCATGCCAGCCCCGGAAACCAGGCGTTTTAATGCATACCTGTAACCTCAGCGCTGGGAAGGCTGAGACAGGAGGATCACTAAGAGTCTGAGCTGTGTGTAGCAAGATCCTATACCAAATAAATAAATAAACAATTTAAAAAATGAAGTAATGCTGTATTTGTAGATAGTAGCTGCACAGTTAAGAGTTCTCAATTCTTTTCTCCTGGTGGACATCGTGGAGGAAGCATCATCAGTCTCTCTTCCGACTGCCCTCATGTCTAAGTCAGTCTGCCAAGGAGCCCAAACAGCTACAGAAGCTCTTCATTGGAGGGCTGAGCTTTGAAACAACTGATGAGAGTCTGAGGAGCCATTTTGAGCAAGGGGAACACTCACAGACTGCGTGGTAATGAGAGACCTGAACACCAAGCGTTCCAGGGGCTTTGGGTTTGTCACTTATGCCACTGTGGAGGAGGTGGATGCAGCCATGAATGCAAGGCCACACAAAGTGGACGGAAGAGTTGTGGAACCAAAGAGAGCTGTCTCAAGAGAAGATTCTTAAAGACCAGGTGCCCACTTAATGGTGAGGAAGATCTTTGTTGGTGGCATTAAAGAAGATACTGAAGGGCTGGAGAGATGGCTCAGTGGTCTAAAGCACCTACTTGAAACAAGCTTGGCAAACCACAGGGACCGCGGTTCGATCCCCAGCACCACATGCCAGCCAGACCCGCCCCCTGGTGGGCTGAGCTGGCCACACACACACACAATAAATAAATGTAATAAATAAAAATAAATAAATATTAAAAAAATAAAAAAATAAAGAAGATACTGAAGAACATCACCTACGAGATTATTTTGAGCAATATGGAAAAATCGAAGTGATTGAAATTATGATCGACTGAGGCAGTGGAAAAAAGAGAGGATTTGTTTTTGTAATCTTTGATGACTATGATTCTGTGGATAAGATTGTCATTCAAAAATACCACACTGTGAACGGCCACAACTGTGAAGTGAGGAAAGCCCTGTCCAAGCAGGACATGGCTAGTGCTTCATCTAGCCAAAGAGGTCGAAGTGGTTCTGGAAACTTTGGTGGTGGTCGTGGAGGAGGTTTTGGTGGCAATGACAGTTTCGGTTGCGGAGGAAACTTCAGTGGTCGAGGTGGCTTTGGTGGCAGCCGTGGTGGGGGTGGATGTGGTGGCAGTGGAGATGGCTACAATGGATTTGGTAATGATGGAAGCAATCATGGAGGTGGTGGAAGCTGTCATGAATTTGACAATTACAACAGTCAGTCTTCAAATTTTGGACCCATGAAGGGAGGAAATTTTGGAGGCAGAAGCTCCCTTGGTGGTGGAGGCCAATATTTTACCAAACCACAAAATCAAGGTGGCTCTGGTGGCTCCAGCAGCAGCAGTAGCTATGGCTGTGGCAGAAGGTTTTAAACACTTCCAGGAAACAAAGCTTAGCAGGAGAGGAGAGCCAGAGAAGTGACAGGCAAGCTACAGGTTACAACAGATTTGTGAACTCAGCCAAGCACAGTGGTGGCAGGGCCTAGCTACTACAAAGACATGTTTTAGACAACACTCATGCATATGGGCAAAAACTCGAGGACTGTATTTGTTACTAATTGTATAACAGGTTATTTTAGTTTCTATTCTGTGGAAAGTGTAAAGCATTCCAACAAAGGGTTTTAATGTAGACCTTTTTTTGCACCCATGCTGTTGATTGCTAAATGTAAGTCTGATCATGACACTGAATAAATGTCTTAAAAAAAAAAAAAGAGGTCTCCATGCACGCAGGCCCAAAGAGAATAAAAAAGGCAATGCAATCAAAGTAAGGTTGAGATCTGGAATTTCTTGAACTTAGTGCCCAGTGCAGGCCAGTTTCCTTTTAGTATCTGCATTATTCGCTCACGCATCATTTGCCATTTTATAATCTGCTTCTCCTTTCTCCCTACTTCTCTTTTATAGAGCATTTTCTTGGAATACGTAGTTTGCTTTGGTTGAGTTTATTTGCGTATTTGGCACATTTGAAAGATAATTTTCTAGGAAATAAATCAATTAGGATGAGGACAAGGTCGACTAGTAGTGGAGGATTAATTCAGTTTGGTCATTCAAGACTATAGTGGTTATCCAAGCACTCTCCAGCCTCGCTAGAAGGGCTGTCCCGACAGAAGATTCGGGATGTGTAGTCCAGCATTCAGTACGTTAGCATTTTCTGTTTGTAACATTTTGGCTGCATGAAAGCAGAGATGGGAACCCCTCTTCCTTGCGGAGCCGCCTGTGAAACACAAGCGGGACCTCCGACAGGCGTCACTTCCGTTCGGGGAGGTGACGGGGCGCAGAGAATTCTGGGAAGTGTAGTTTGGGCGCCCTGGAGAGCCGGGTAATTTCCGCAGCAGGGGGCCGAGGCCACCTCCCCGCTCCGGCCGGGAATCTGGGAAGCGTAGTCCCTGCCGTCTCCGCAGCGAGGCCACTTCCGTCCCGGTCAGGTATGCGAGGCTGCGGCCTGCGCTGCTCCAGAAAGGTGAGCTGTCCTGTAGGCGCATTTGCTCCCGGCGTCTGCGCGGATCTTTCCTCCTTTTGCTCGGGGCCAGTGGCAACCAGGCAGGCGACCCGGGGGAAGAGAATTCGCGTGCGGGGAGATGCGGTGTTTGCGGTCCCTTTGAATGGACTTGCACTGTGTGCGGCGGCTGGCGGCGCATCCCTGCTTGGGCCGGGACCTGCGTAGTACCGACGGGGCTCTTGGGATACTGTTCAACTTTTGCTCTTCTTTAAAATGCTCTTAGTACTCGCCTAAGTGTTTGCTGTACAAGGGGTTGAACCCAGACCCTTTGCACTAAGCTACATCCCCAACCGTACCCTCTTTCTGAGACAGGTTCTCTTGAAGTCGCTCCGTTTCTCAGGCCGGGCTCAAACATGATTCTCCTGCCTCATCCTCCCCGAGTGCAAAGATGTACAGGCTTGCAGCACTACGCCTGCAGGGCTCCTACGACTGATTTTGAAAACAGAATCAAGCGCTTGGTAGAAGATGCAACAGGTTACTTGTTACTAGCACTCTGTAATTTTTTGAGAAGCACTCAGTTCCTTGGAAGCCTCAGTGTACATAGAATGGGGTCAGAGAGTCAGTTGCAGCATCCCTGGCCTCTCTCTAATCCCTGAAGGAAGTGGGGCTGTACCGGAATCCCTTATTCGAATGACTTTATACTTTTTTTAAAAAATGTGTTTGGTACAGGGTCCCAATATGCAGGTCGGACTCCTAATGATCTTCCTGTTTTCAGCCTCCCCAGCACTGGGATTATAGGCGTGCGCCACCTGCCTGGTCTCCGTGGCCAGCTCAGTGTGCCCGGGATTGGTGGGGCATGTGGTGCTGGTGATCAAACCCCAGTACCTGTGCTTGCCTAAGCAGTCACTTAGCCCACTGAGCTATCTTGCCGGGCCATGACTTTATTCTTTCAATAGAGAGGGTCACTCCTAGCTGTTACTGGGATTTCCATTGTAATTGATGGGGATGTTCGGATGGATGATCTGATTTCTCACCTCTTTTCCTTTTACAGCCTAGATTTAGAGGTGAGAATGACCCTTTGGCTTCAGGCAGTAGTCTTACCTGAGTAGAATTTAGCATCTTTTCTTCCCCCAGGTCCTAGGCTCCTTAGCAGTGGGGTTGTAGGTATGGGCCACTATGACTAGTTCTATGTTGGTTTAGTTCTTAACACTTCTTCTTCTTCTTTTTTTTTTTTTTTTTCTTTTTTTTTGGTGGAACTGGGGATTGAACTCAGGCCCTTGCGCTTGCCAGGGAAGTGCTTATTCCACTGAGCCATCTCCCTGGCCCCATAGTTCTTAACACTTCTGCCATCTTGCACCTCCCCTGGTACATGTGTGACTCTACCACCTGGTGGCTTTGACCAATATAGTTTTTAAGAGGTGGCCAGCCAAATAGCTCAGCGGATTAAAGAGCCTGAAAGCAGGTGTGGGGGCCTACCTTGCTCTCCCCACCCCCAGGGGCGCGATAAGACAGCAATTGAGACTGTGCACACCAGTAATCCCAGCTCTTGGGAGACTGTAAACAGGCAGATTACTACGAGTCCGATCTATTAGTGAGACCCTGAACACCTTGCAGACTGTTCCCTAAAATCCAAAAAAGAAGAAGAAGAAGAAGAAGAAGAAGAAGAAGAAGAAGAAGAAGAAGAAGAAGAAGAAGAAGAAGGAGAAGAAGTAAAATCATACATGGGACAGTGATGCATGTACTGCTGGTGGTTCAGGTCACCTGTCTTGTGAAAGTGTTTTGTATCAGATTGAAAAGGTCTGTTTGGATTTTTGTAGAGTCACAAAAACGGTGTTAATGAGATTTGACTTTTTGATAAGATTATTTTTAGTCATCTGCAATTTAATTATGTTGGAAATATGTGTGGTTCACATTTTGATTATAGAAATGATTACCTATTGTAGAGATTAAGAAAATATATAAAATGTAAAGAAGAAATGTTATTACTCATGAACACAAAGGGTACCAGTGATAACAATATTAGTATTTTCATGGTCCTATTCAGTAGACTTAGCTGTGGATTTTTACCTAAGTTTTACAGAATAGGTTTTATTTTTCCCTTGTGTTTTATCACTATGGAAATTTATTTTATTTTATTTATTTATTTATTTATATTTATTTATTTATTTATTTATTTATTTTGGTGGAACCAGGGATTGAACTCAGACCCTTGTGCTTGCCAAGGAAGCACTTATTCCACTGAGCCATCTCCCCAGCTCTCACTATGGAAATTTATAAGAATAGCCCTAACCTTCCCTTCTCCTCCGCTTCCTCCCATCCATATATATGAATGATTCTACTGCAGTGTAATCTTCACAAACCAGTGCTATTTTGCCTCCTATGTTTAGGTTGAATTCATTAAGAAGCATTATAAAATCTAATTAAAGCTAATTCTCACACCAATCCAATATTCAGTAGTAATGATCAAGGGTACTTCTTATTCAAAAGCATTTCAGTCTTAGCCTTGAGGGGAAAGGAGTCACAATAAACTATTGTTTTTTGGGCTGTTGAACTCTTGCATGGTAGGCAAGTGAGGATTCTTCTACTACTGACAAAATTCACAAAACCGATGATGGTTAAGTCTGTGAGAGTGAGTGCAGCTCGCTGTTGACAGACTGTAGTGGGTCAGTTGCACGTGATTAAAATACTCTCAGCATGGGCTGGCCAGATAGCTCAGCAGATTAAAGTGCCTGCTTAGGCAGATGCAGGGACTGAGTTTGATCCCTGATGTGCCATGCCAGCCTTGGTCCCAGGGCACGTTGAGATGGCCCTTGAGCCTGGGTGTGATGGCGCACGCTTGTAATCCCAGCACTTGGGAGGCTGAAAACAAGAGGATTGCTATGAGTCCAATCTGTGTAGTGAGACCCTGTAGACACTGTACTGAATATGTTTGAAAAAAAATATTGTCAGCAAGTTGCTGCTGATGAATAGCGTGGTGAACAGCCACAGGCTCCAAGCCTGGTTCCTAACAAGCCCTACCAATCTGTCCACTTGGCCATTTTCTGCCCCAGAGTATTTTAGCATTATCAATTTTAGCACAGGTTAACAGATTAAGTGTGATTATGCTGTTTGAGCGAGTATTACTTTTCAACTCCTTTGGAAATATTTTACTGTGGTTCTCACAGACTATTCCTAGAGCCTCATTCTTTAGTCACCTGAAACTTGGCATTGAGTCCTTGAATAAGTAACAACTGAGCAACAGCTGTCGTCGTCAAGGGCCAAACACAATTTAGCAAAATCTTTTATATTTTAATGAACTATAGTGCTGTTTCTGTTGTCATCAACTCTTAGAGCAACCATTCTTGCCCAAAGCCGCACAATGATAAGCAACATTATTTTTTTCTGGATGCATCCCTTTGCCTGCTACAATCAAACATGATCCAGTCAACTCATTGCTGGTAAATTATTTTCCTGGCTTAGACGAGAAGTAGATGCTGAATATCCGAATATCCAGATCTTGCCTTGTTTGCAGCTTCATTGTCATTGTTGGGTTTTGTGAAAAAATTCTTCTATGTTGAAACGTTTCATTTGAAATTTTCAGATTTGCCCAAGTATTGCTTTATTCTGAGTTATTTGGGAGGAATGCTGACGTTGTTGACATACATTGTATTCTTTTAGTGTGGCTATGTTGTCATTTTACAAGAAGCAAAAGCTTTGGCCTCTAATTGAATAACTGATGTCCTCACCATTGTGCCTTAGAAGTATGACAAAACCTTTTTCTCTGATGAATATATACTGACAGCAAAAAACTACAACATGGGGTAAAGCAGTACAAGTAGTACTTCAAATGCTGTTCAGTTAGCCTCATTTTAACACAACTGAGTTACCCCAGTCCTGGGTCCTGTGCTTGTATTGTACTTAGCTGCAGTACAGAGAAATGGGAGCATCCCGTGTGGTCCCTGTCACAATCTCAGAGCTCAGCTGCTTTAATCAGATACGCATTAGGCAGCCACATACATGTTTTAGCCAAGAAGGACCATAATCAGACATCAATTGTATCCAACAGGTAAAGAACCAAGACTATTACGTAGATTGACCACTGTTTAGATGCATATGAAACAAGAATTGCCCCTTTGTTTTTAATTATTTTGTGGTTTGCAGTACTGGGGAAGGAACCCAAGGTCCCTTGTAGTTGCTAGGTATGTTGCACTGTGAACAAAGGCATAATGGGGCCACTGTTGGGTCCCAGGGAGAAACGATGACAGGATGAGGAACGTATAGACAGAGACAAAAACTGAGGTCAGGTGGAGGTCTTCTGTCTCTCGGTGGGAGGAGAAGAACTGCACAAGCACTGTAGGGGCATTTATTTACACTCTTCACAAAGTTAGTATCATGTACACAAGGTTACCTAGTGACTAAAAATTGGAATTGTCCGAGTCAAGATATTTTTCTCAAGACTGGACGTATCCTGACTGCTCTAGCCAGTTTGGCCTTGTCTTGTTCCCACACATATGACCAGTTTCTAGCTTTAGCCACTCCCTCCAGGCTACCAAGTCAGGTGAAATTGAAGCAATAGGGATGCTTATTCCTGCCTGGGAGCAGGTGGGCCAAGGGCAGTTAGAGCACTGTCTCTGAGGAACCAGCTGGGGAAGCCTTTATAGGGCTGTTTGCATAGGGGAGGGCTATGGCAGGGAGGAGGAGTGGGAAATTTTTAGTCTGGGTCTGGGCAGTTGGGAATCTTGGTGACAGCCATGTCTTGTAGGTGTGGCTGTGTAGGACAGTTGTTTGTTATCTCCTTTGGCAAGCTCTAGCTGTCTGTTATCTCTTTGTCTCTCTCAGCAGCAGTCAGCAGCTCTGCTTAGGGAGCTTTATTCTTCTCTGTTGGGTGGGGCTAGTCACTCCCAGGCTGTCTTTTAATTTTGAGCCCCTCAGTAGTTAGTGAACCCCTGCTTGTAAAAGCTGGTGAGGCAGGTCTTAAGTAGGAGCCTTCTTCACGGTGCGCGTGAGTCTGCAGAGGCATCCACAGCACACGCTGCTGCCCT